CCCCTCTGCATCCCCACTCGCCGACTGGCTTCTCCCGCCGTCGTAACTCGCAGCCCCGCGCGTCCCAGTCACCCGCAGCGACGTTCAGTCACTCGGCAACCGCCTGTCCGTGTACTTCTCTTTCTCTTTTCTCCTTTCCGTATCCGTCCCATGAAACCGAGCGAGAGAGCCATGGACACGGCGCGAAAGGTCGAGGAGGCTACCAGTGTCGTCGTAATGTTACGGGTGTACCCGTTAGCCGCTCGCATCTCTCCCTTTATCTCCAATATATATATATATATCTTATCGTTTTATATATGGGGCTTATATTTTATTCAAATAAGAGCTAATAGTTGTTAATTAATGAAATAAAATATAATACAATGTTAATCAATTTCAAGTAAGAATCATAATATATATAATAGTTAGTAACTAAGAGTTATTCGAGAGGTTATTAAACCTGCAATGTAAGGAAAGGAAGCACACCGAATGAACTCATTGGTTGCAACTGTTTTTAGTAACTATAGGAGAAAACGTTGTACAATAAAATGCATCTAAAAATGTACAGGTTGGTACGCCAAAATGAAGGAATCTTTACAAGTATCGATACTACCCTGTTACGTCTAGATTTTGTAACAGTTCTTATCACAATTGAAATCTAACATTTTATATTTAAAGAATGCGTCTGAAATCCATGAACTAGAGCTTTTGTACGAGACAGAGTCCTCGAACGGCGTATCACCTAACCGTATTCTGGCCCTTTCCACTACAGACATGGGCCCGACAAGGTCCGCGATCGTCCCTGGGGGTTCCCGCAGAAACTCGTCCCTCTCCATCATACTGCAACCCTCTTCTTTTCGCTCATTCGTTTTCTAGCTTTATGCACGTAGCAGTATGTCCTCTCTGGCGTGCACCAGTGTCTTCAGCCTCCGTCAACCTGATTTCTCGGCTTGCTTCTTTCTTCTTTGGCCCCTTTCATTCTTCTTTTTCCCCGTTGTCGGGGCCTTAGTGAGTCGAACGAATTAAGACGAAGAGGGGAACCACCAGGAATATCGAGCAGACGTTCCGATCCCTGGCAGATATTCCCGTTTACGTTCGATTCTTTTCAATCTTACCCTATCCACCTGCCTGGCTCGTACCGATTAACCTTGCCAAGTTTATCCCAATAGATCTAGGTTCATAGTGTATGAGACAGCTTGTTTGTTGCTGGGAATCTCGCTGACACGCCACTGGATGCATGCTAAACGAGCGTGTCGATAACGAGCCCGGATACTCCAGATACTATCCAACGTTGTGACACACCCGGATTTCCATGCATCTCAGTCCGCCTTATTTGTACTGTACCAGAGATCAATTGCCTGCTCAAGGCCACTCAGGGGTTATCCCTGTTATAGCGTACGATTCACTGCTCTTCTCTAGTGGAATCCCCAGCTTTTGTATTTTATTTCCTCTTATTTCGTTTATTGGACACGTATATAAGAAATATACTTACATTTTAAAATATTTTGTATTTATCAGTTGTACAATTCCAACTTCGTTTTATCGTTGTTATTTCTAAGATGCTCAGCTGATTTCCGACTCGGAAACTTGATACAATACGTTAGCCGTCACGAAAAGGGATGAAATGGTCTTTTTAGGAAGGCAAGGGCCTCCTTGCCACCCGATCAGACAAATATCCTTCGCCTTTACTTGGCCACTATCTCATGCATTTGTATTCCACGTGGATGCTTTCACGCGACATATTGCATATCCTTTCCAAGCGTGTTTACCAAAGCATAAACGTATGGGCCGAAAAATATATTATATGTTATGTACATATATTTACATTATGTATACCAGAAGATTAATATTTGTGATGACAGTGACAGTTACAGATAAGACCAAACAAGTTCTTTAAACTTATAATTTTCTAAATATCTGATATGTCTCACAATCAGTAGGTAATTTCTCTTAACAAAACCAACTATCGGTTTATTAATTTTTAATATTGGTTTTATTGTTCAGTGTAGTAAGAGAAATTTAGGAAAGCGAAAAATCAATGAGGAACGAAGATATTCAAGCGAAAGACCATATCGGGAAAAACCGAATGAGACAGAGATAATAAAGAGGGCAAGGATTTCAGGTTGAGTAAAAATCGGCACTAAAAAGAAGAAGGAATCTTGAGGGAGATTCAGATCCTGCTTTTATCGAGAATTGATGATGGATTTGTTTTCGACATGATCTACGGCATTGAGTTATCCCTTTATTCGTCCCTATTCCATCACGCTTCCGCGTGGAAAGAATTCAGGTCTTTCTCATTTTTGCGCCCGAGACGTTTTATATTCGAGCGATTGGGTATATGGTTCTGCTATTATAGATTGTCATCAAAATTTTTAGCACTTGATGGTGGTATTATTTTTTAATAATTTTCGATAGAAATTCATTACAGAACAAATTAAAAAGAAAGGAAGATTCATAAATTTCAATTACAACTTTAGGTGCGCCTTCTAATGAAGCGAATAACAAAGCAATTTGCACGTAGAAATTTACGGTTTTACACGTGCGCTCTCTGCACACACGTTCATGCAAGACAAAGAATGATGTCATCGCGTTCAAAGACACAGCCATACGTATCTCTGCCAATACCATAAATACTGCTATAAATAGTTACTTAATTACATTAAATAATAATAAATCAGATTTACTTAAATTGTTAAACGAATATAATGAATCAGACAGAGACAATTGACGATCACAATTTCCTTCTCATTCTTTCTATTAAACGATATCACTTAAATGCTAAACTATATTCGCAGATTCACATATTGATGACAGAAATTATGAAATTATCGCTTATTATGAAACGTTTCGACATTCATATACAGATACTAGTGCAACAGATAATATAATTTGTCGCACTGTCGAAGGGTTATTACATTTGTTGGTAATCCGTTAACAATGAATAATATGCTACAGTAACAGTGACATAATTAATTTCACGAAAATGCCAATTTTGTGCTGGAATAGTTCTGCATAATGAATAGTTACTGTTAGTTTTGAAATCGATAATTTTCAGAATTTGGAGATAACATGCTTTTGATGGTGCGTCAACACTATGAAAAATTTAGTAGACTAGAAATCGGTCGAGTGTAATGAAGGTAATAGGAAAATGGGTCTCTGAATTTATCAACATGTTCATACATGGATAGCATTCTCACATGGAGAATTCTGTTGCTGCAAAAATACAAAATGCAACAAGATTATTTTATGTATAAACCATAATCTTATTTATTCGGTATGACGGATTTTATCATGGTAAAATTAGTTGAATGTAAATTAAAAAAAATGAAACTGTAATTGAACGATACAAAAGTTTCTTTCATTTGAAATTTGAAGTGAAACTAATAGAAAGTAATAGCCAGCTTCGTATTAAATTGAATTTTATAGCAGGTGATCCTTGGCTATTTCTTGTGGCACCGGGAAGAACACATATCTTAAACTCCACATTTTAATTTTCTCGAATATCAAGTATTTCCACGTAATATTCTTCCAGCCCCTGTTCCGGTCATGTATCTACCTTAACGTTTCACCGCGCTGCAAAGTAACGCGATGCAATAAAGTACGGTTATAATCAAAAGAAACGCTTCCTGACTAAACAATTACATAGTTATTCATGGAACATTTACCGTGTTGCTTTTTCAGTTCTAACAAATGCGCCGCCCAATTTTAATTAAATAAGACTTCGTATTAGAGTGTAACAGAACGATAAATTTATTTTCATTATTCCTACTTCGCCGATATTAATTGGATGTTAAGTTTAACTTGTTGACTTCCGGCGTTCGAACTTCGTTTGTTTTTCAGTCGGTATAAAAATCATTGGGTAGTTAAGGAGTAAGGAATCGCACGTTTTTCCATCGATGGACATGTCGATGACTGTGGAACGATTTGCTGAAAGACGAGATCGATTCCGGTGATCGTGCCGTGAAGCAACGGCGCCCTTATTCCACTCGTCACTTGGCAACCTCCATTAATCTCCGTCAGTCATGTCTGATGGACACGGTAGAGGCGATAACGAACGGGTTATTGAGGATGAAGGACGAAATCCCTCAGCGTTCCCACTCGTTTCTTTTCTTATCTACGCTGATAATCGAACCATCGATAAATTTGCTAATGCTTCACGCTAATACTTGCTAAATTTCCTCACGATGAATAGGAAACCTTGGCTATTCGATGCACACGGTGAGTCACACAATTATTTGCGTACGAAGCAAAAACCCAGAATGCAATTTTTCGATAGCAATGACGACATATGATCGAAATCGATGTCAATTTAATCAAAACGTTTACGGAA